CTAAAAAAAAAAGATGAATTTGTTTACAATACAAACTTTGCCTTTACTGGCGACCATTTTGAAATTCCTATCGCTTCAAAAAGTGAAAAGTTAAACTATAAGGTTGTCGTTATTATCAGATAGCGGTCAGGAGTCTGTAATTCAGTGGTTGTCATTTGTTGCTGTGTTACATATTCGTGTTTCGGTCTTTGTTTGTACATTATTAAAACCGTTATTTTCACTCGTTTGAGTTAAATTGTTAAACAGCTGTCATTTCGGGGATTCTCCCTCTGGTATCTTTCGTCCCTCTTTTATAGCTGACTATGCGGGGGCTTTTCTAATTATTGAGGGCATTATGATGACCTATAGTTGCTTATTCCTGTGTCATTTAGTCTCTTGGCAATCATAATACATATTCTTTTATATATATAGCGATGTCGTTATTACGACATAGCTATGTCGTAATTACGACATAGCTATAGTGATGTCGTAATTACGACTTGTTATGTCGAAATTACGACATAGCGATGTCGTTATAACGACATGTTATGTCGAAATTACGACATAGCGATGTCGTTATAACGACATGTTATGTCGAAATTACGACATAGCGATGTCGTTTCAACGACATGTTATGTCGTTATAACGATATGTTATGTCGAAATTACGACATAGTGATGTCGTTATTACGACATGTTATGTCGTAATTACGACATAAATTTTTTTTTTGAATGGCCCTTATCGGCTTCCGTATGATACTGATTGTTTGGGGACAACAGATAAGGTGACTGTAAACGTTTAAACATTCCACCTGTATGTACACATGGGTTTTAAGATTGGCGATAAAAAGTAACTTTTATTCCATGCAAACTCTCATGATACTGATTGTTTGAGGACAACAGATAAGGGTACTGTAAAACATTCCACCTGTATGTACACATGGGTTTTGTAGATTGGCGATAAAAAGTAACATTTATTCCATGCAAACTCTCATGGTACTGATTGTTTGGGGACAACAGATAAGGTGACTGTAAAAGTTTAAACATTCTACCTGTATGTACACATGGGTTTTAAGATTGGCGATAAAAAGTAACATTTATTACATGCAAAAACTCAGGGTACTGATTGTTTAAAAGACAACAGATACATCACTCTTTACGTTTTAAATATCAGTAATTTTCCATGGTATCCAAGATGTTATCTATCAAAATTCTCAGTAATATTTAATATAACAAAACAAACATCAACATTGTATTTTCTTCGTGAGTATTAATCGAATACACAATCCCCTCCTCTTTTCCTCGAATGTAACCAACCGAATAAGAATTTTCACCGGATTTGTACTTACATGAGTAACACGACGGGTGCCACAGGTGGAGCAGAATGTGCTTATCCGTCCGTAGCACCTGAAATGACCCCCAGATTTTGGTGGGGTTCGTGTTGCTCAGTCTTTAGATTTCTTTGTTGTGTTTTGTGTGCTGTTTGTCTTTTCGTCGTTTTTCGTTTTTTGCCATGGCATTGTCAGTTTGTTTTCGACTTATGATTTTGAATATCACTTTGGTATTTTTCGCCTCTCTTTCACTGTTATGACAGAGTAAATAACTTAAGATTCACGCATTAAATTGTAAAAAAATAGGGATTAATAATTCAACAAGCCCACAATTCTCCAACTCGAAAATTTGGAAACGACAAAAAGATAAATAGGATAACAAGAATGTCACTCCTTTAGACATGGAGATTTTGTTCAAGTGTACATTTTTGGATTTTTTCTTTTTTTAAGCATCGTACAATTCTGGACCTTTTTTATAAGAAAATATAGATAAATAAATCTATACTTTAACTATATTTATTTGCGCAACACATCCAGACACTAGTGCAAATCCGAATTAAAACGATTTTAAAAAGAGAAAAATTCAAGTCATTATGATTGCATAGTGTCGATATTCAAGAATAGTTTTGATTTGTGAAAAAGATGGACATAGTAAAAACTTTAAAATTCTCTAGATAGTGTCAGGTTTTTAGGAAAAAACTATATTATTTCACATTAATGTTTGATAAAAAATCATCCTTTTTGTATACAAATTACAAAAACCATTTAATGACCTACAATATAGGATGAATATATCTGTCGGAGATTAGATAATGAGAATGAACTCTGTGGCTGGCGGTCGTTAACCTCTGTATATCAGTTAGCGCTTAAATGTTATTTTAAGTTATTGATACATCTTATTAGATTAGATTTGGCTATTTGCTGTATGAAAATAACGCAAAATATTATTGTTTAATGGAACGTTTAATTCTTATTGCTACTGATGCTTCTGATGGTGCAGAAAAAATTATAACAATACGCATCATGCAGACAACTCTATAACACCTGACAGCTGCCCTGAGAATCCTCCCAAGGACGGCAGTTATCTCCAGATCGACGTCTATAATATTCTGTTTGTTATTCAATCGATGTAGGTAACATATAGATCTAGCTTCTCTGTACTAGGCACGATGAATTGATGCCATGATGGCATATATTGACTCTCCAATAATAATAAACCGTTTTGTATGTATTCAATTCTAGACGAATAGGGTCATTCCCATGTGTATGTGTATGTGTTTATTTTTTTAGTTTTTGGTACTATGTGCAATTGGGCATGTTATTTAATTAGCATCGTTCCTTGGTTGCTCCTGTAGTCTTGACCCCTCTGCATTAGGCACGATATGATGACATGTCAGTTACGTGCATCTCCTCATAATATTTATACAAATAGTATTGTCTGTCTTCATATATATATCGACCACGTGCGTCACTTAATTTGTGCCTTCTGCGGTTAGGTAACATATCCACTTAATTGCCAATTTATCAAACGCAATTTTTATGTTGGGGATGATGCTCCTTGAGAGCGCATTTAATGGAAATAAACTTCTTCTTTTGCTTTTAACGAACCTAGATTGATTTTTTCGTTTTTTTCTATGTAAGTTGACAATATCTGATTTAGAAGAAAGTATCCACATGTACACACAATCTTCTAAACTTCTAAGATCTATACGGGGATATATGGGTAGATACCAGTTAAAAGAGGAAATCTCTATTTATATTCTTAAAGGTAAAATATACCTTATATATGTGACGTATATTTTTGGTTTGCATGGTTTCATTTGTGTATATGGTTATTGAAGTAAAGTTTACAATAGCATATTTTTTTTCTTATACAATATATACTTATTTACATAACGTCCGAGTACCCAAACTGCTACTATTATGCAAAACAAGCAGCTTAAATCTTATAGGTTTTCTGAGAGATTGAACAATTCAACGTTTTATCAATTGTCATTTTGCCCGTCTTTAAACACAGCTAAATATAATTAAATATACACAAAACGGTCAAATTGTATATCAACAAATGAGGTATCCAGTGAAAGTTAACTTTTCTAAATAAACAATTAAATAATGTAACATTTACGGGCATCCATTCCTTACAAAATGCAAAGTAAGCATGGACTACCGTCAAATTATTCTAAAAATGCGGAGAAATAAAACAAAACATCAGTTGTTCGATTTTTACGGAAGTGAAGATAAGCATGGGTACAATTTATGTATTCCTCATTACGGAAATTTGGGTCGTTTGGAGTACGGTACGTTTAGGTGTAGACCGCTTGTGGAAATATGTAATAAATAAGGATACATCTACAAAATGAACACAGAATGGAAACTTTTGTCTTTTTCTTAAATAAACGTAGGTTTGGTTTAAAAACTGTTAAAATTAGTGCAATTCGGGTACTCTCATGTTCACGTAACAATTTTAGTAAAGAAATATATTTTAGTTGAAGACAAATTGTCTGTTACAAATTGTCACATAAGAACTGTTGTGGGTAGATACAGATTATAATGGATCTCGAAGTTGCATCCTTAAAAAGTCCTTTGAAATAAAATAGTGATCTTATTAGTGCATTAATGTGCGTCTCTGTCAACGGCAACAGTAATTAAAATAAAAACAAAATGAAATGGGTAAAGTTCAAGTTGTTGGAAGGTAACCATTTAACATTCAGACGTGTTTAAATACACATTAAAAATTGTATATTATATCAAATCAGATTCCATTAATTTTATAAATTATAATTTTTAATTAATATCTTTTAAAATTATAATTACTAGAAGAACCGAATAACCACTTGAAGAAATCAAGTGAAATAACTGAATAAAGAGTCATCGTTACAGATGAGATGTGTTTCAATAAAAAAAAAATCAGGCTAACGGTGCTCCATATTTTGTTTCGATCACCAAAAATCTAAAGTATATGTATAATTAGTAAACCTCAACTCATACTAGATAAAGTTTTTAAATGCAACCAGAAAAACATGGTATGTACAAACAGCATTGCAAACAACTGGGTTTTTGTTGGTATATAAAAATGCAATTGAAATTCATACTCTTTTTTTCCAGAAATGAGTTTTCCCCCAATGTATCAGTTAATTTAAGCAAATGTTACATCATGGTATACATAAAGCTGATGGTTAGACTCAAGCTAGCAGCCATTCGCTACCAGCCACTCCGCTAGCTGTCAGTTTTCAGATATATCTACAAACCCAAAGAGTGGCTGCTATAGCTTGAGTCTAGCAAGCTGATGTGCTATTAAGCATCATATAGGCCTTAATAATCACAAATTGTTTGCATTCATTGACTATCAAAGCACTGCCAAAGCATAAAACTTAATATATTTACAAAATGAATTGTATTGCACCATTTACTTCATATTTTAACATGTATAGGGCCAAAATGCAAAGGAAAAAAAATGTAGCGGTTCTATAAGAACCTTTAAAATCACAAGAATCGTTGACAAAGTCCTATTGAATACGCTGGACTGAAACGATATATTGAGATTAACGTCATTTAAGAAAACCGTTCGATATTTATAAGTTGTGCAAAATGCAGACACTTTGTTCAATCTGTAATCTTTACAATAACAGTTTTAGCTTTTCCTTTTTTAGTCATTAGGGTATTCAATATGCATAATAATTTCTTCTTTCAGGTTATGGAAACATAGTGCCGCTTACTGGAATCGGCAAATTTATAGCCATGGTTTATGCTGTATTAGGCATACCCCTTGCTTTGCTAGTTTTGGCAGAAGTTGGTAGACGTTTTACTGTTCTTCTTAAATGGATGTATGCACGTGCACGTCGATATTACTACACTGGAACCTTCCGCAAAAAAGTAATTAAACAAGTCCGAAGTCGCCTGAGCAGTCGAAAAAGTAAACAAAGCGTTCAGAATGCAGAAAATGGAACATGTAGTAACGAAATAGACCCAACTACAAAGAAAAGAAGTAAAAGCGAGGAGTCGATTGTATTTGTTAAAAAACAATCTGGATTAGGTCCGTCTCCAAATTCGAGTTTGAAATCAAAAACCGGAAGTGAAGATTCCTTAGAAGAATCACCTGAAGTCCAGTCGACTTTGTCTTCAACTGATCGCGTTAAAGTTATGTATGATATAGAGATTGATGACTCTTTCAACTTGCCAATATCAATTGCTTGCATAATATTACTGATTTATATTTTTCTTGGTGCTATCATGTATAAATTTTGGGAATCATGGGATTTCTTGGATTGCATATACTTCGTGTTTATATCTATAAGTACTATTGGATTTGGGGATGTAACACCTGCGCATCCGAAATATTTCCTCATCTCCGCAATATATTTATTCATGGGTCTTTCCTTGGTTTCCATGTGCGTTAATGTTGGAATCGAATTCTTCACTGTACAAATAGACAAAGCGAAAGGTCATATGAATAAAGCTAAAGAACGAGTTGTTGAGGCGGGAAAAGAAAAAATGGCCTCTGTCGGCAAAGAAATGAATAAAGCAAAAGACAAAGTGTCAAAAGCAGGGACCAGTGCAAAGGATAAGATATCAGAAGTAAAGAAAAACATTGAAATAAATATTCAAAATGAATTAAAAAGGGCAAAAAAACATTCTTTAGATTCGTCTGAGAGTAGATCAAAAGAGAACACACCAAAGCCATAGTTATTCCAAATGTTACAAATGACTTCTGCTACAAGTGACGCAAAAACTGTTCGATATTTCCATATACAATTTCATGTTTTGTTTTTGTCCCCTGATTTAAGTCTCTACTACATTCCGTCCACTTTTGAGACTGTTTTCAGTATGAATGTTCAGTTGTCAAATTGTTTTCCGTGTGATTTCATCAAAGTGGAAGATTACACAACAAATAGTGCTTTAATGAAGCGAAAGCACTGTGTGACGTTACATAAACACAGCTCTCGACGTAATTACAATTGGTACAACAACCTTCTTGCCATCTGTCTAAAATTGTTTTTCAAATCATCATTAAGCAGATGTATTTAGCGTTAGTGTTAGCTTTCTACCTCTTCATTTTTTTGTAAATAAAATGTAAAATACAGAAAACATGTGCGAATATTCTTTGTGGGGTTGATTCCCAGAGATTAAAACCCAGTTTGTTGTAGGTAAATGTGAAATGCTGATTGTTGTTATGCTTATAATTTTGGAAAGAACTCAACATTTTTAAAACTATGTCATTCGAAACAAAAATAGTTCGCCACTCGAAATACAAATTATATCATAGTTCTTTCAAAATACAACAGATGTATATTGTTGGCATTCTTCACACCCCTGAAATATTTGAAAAGCAAAAGCTTATTAAAAAAAGTGGAGAGCTTATAAACCAAAAAGGACACAAACGTATAGCCAAAATCGGGCAAGGAATCAGAGCTTTGCATGAGGGTGATATATTCCAAAATCGAGACTTTGCATGAGGGGGATATATTCCAAAATCGGGAATTTGCATGAGGGTGATATATTCCAAAATCTGGAAAGGAATCAGAGCTTTGCATGAGGGAGATATATTCCTTAATTTAAAATATGTATATTTATTTATATTCCAAGTTGTACCAAATAACAAATAAAAAGCCTTTTATTTGTTGATATAATATCTCATTCCGTGAAACCCGTCTAAATTATACTAAATAAGATATTGTTTGCCAAACATATTTTTTGTTTTAATGTGTAGTTTTTTTGGCTCCGTGTTCAAGGCTTCACCGTTACTTTGAGATGAAGAACAACAATAAAAGCGCTTTTCCTTTGCTTTTTGTGTGTTTTTTCGCTGTGCATGCACTGATTTTGTGTCATGGATAGATACTCCATATCCTTTGTTTTTCTATTATACCAACAAATATTTTAATTATGTATTAGCAAATACTGCAAATATGATGATGCAAAGCATTGTATACTAGCTAATTCTTGAAGTCACACCCGGTTTTCCTATTGTCTATTTAAAATTTAATGTTGTTTGGAATATAATGTCCGTTGTTCACATAAGCTCATGTCGTTTATTAAAATTGAAAGTATTCATGAACACATCAGTGCCAAATGATTGAATGGGAAATCTTTTTATAGTAATAATAATGATAATAATGACTTTATTTAAAGAGGGTGACTCAATTTAGCATTCACTAATCTACCTTGAGGCCCTCACAAAAACATACAGAACAAGTATTACAAATATTACAATTTTTTGAACATATAATTCAAGACATCTCTCACTTATATGGTTATGCTTTAGTATTACCCTTTACGATATTTGATTTGTAATTAGTTTATTTCGTTTACTTTGATGTTGAAATTTATCGAAAATAAAATTTAACTTTATCTGCAGGAAAAAAGGGGAACAATTCTAGCAATTATTTATGTAAATAAAACTTTGGAACCCAAATCATTATTCAAAAATGCAACATGTGTAAGATACTAAATGAAATCAGATTCGTTATTAATCATTGAATTTTAATATGGAAATTTCATTTATTTGAAAGTTTCGTTTAATCTTTTCTTCTTACCAAATTTACCAAAACATTGATATATCACCCCCGTATTTGAACTGAAAAAAAACTTTAATTTGTGGATTCTAACTTCATTCAAGTGTATTCCACATTTTTAATGTATAAATACGCAGCCACGTCCTGTGCGAAGGAAGGTTATATCCGATGCTTCGTTTGAGTAGAGAGAGGTTAACGAATTTAAACACGTTAAAAACCTTGCAACGTTTTGTTGTTTACGGGAAAAAATAAGACCGTGACTGTAACCAATAACACAAAAAATATAATTTTTATCTTGACTCGGTACAAGCACTTACAAGCACTTTGCAATGAAAGTGTTCAAGTTGAAAAAGGTGTAGGTTTTAAAGGCGCGCCACATCTCTGATATGTGTATTAGTCGTCGATTATATGTCCATTATCATTAAAATATCAGTTCAAAAATCTCTTTCACGGCTTATTATTGTTTGAATCGCCTGGTTGGTTTTGTTGAAGCGTCAACCAATCACGCGGTATTTAGGAGTAAGATAAATCAAAGTACTAACGTACTTTTTACTCGGATGACCCCCAAGATCTGATGACTGGCGAATAAAGCTTACAAATTCATATCTCCATGTAGAATAAACAGTTTCTTTCTCACGTCGAGTGTAAAATATGTCAGCCATATTTAAGAAAATAATCGAAAATAAACTGACAACACCATGGCCAAAAAAAAAAACAAACAAACAAAAAAACAGTACACAAAACACAACATAGAAAACTAATGATAAGCAACACGAACCCCACCAAAAACCGGGGTGATCTCAGGTTCTCCGGAAGGGTTAAAGTGACAATAATTCTAAACTCATGTGACCCTTGCTTGTGTAAACAGTGTGCGTTGGTTGCCTTTTACCTTAAAACTTTACATTGTAGAACTTTTATGTACATAATTAGTTTTAAATAGTTCCACAACCGCCCGCACTCGAGGGGAACACACTACCAAAAGAAAACAAGGCGGTCAAAGAAAAGAAAACTTTAGTCAATTAAATAACAAAGTACGATGCTGCAGCAGTAAACTGAGCCTTGCATTGCAAATTTCATCTTTTTCACTTTGATGTTTTAAAATTTCTTTTTACGATTCAAGCAATTAGTCTGCTAATTCTATTTTTAAAAACAAAAACATCTTTTTCATTTTGATGTTTTAAAATTTCTTTTTAAAATTCAAACAATTAGTCTGCTTATTCTATTTTTATTAACAAAAACATTCAATAGTTTTTAGTTGAATGGATATTACTTACTTAGTTATGAATTTTTTAATAAGGCGAAAGGAGAACGGATTTAAACAACGTCATTAGTTTAATTGATCGTGATGTGTTAAAATTAGTGATGTATGTTCAGTAGATTATCTTAAAAACATAAACATTTTAATCAAACCAGTTTATAGGAGTATTTTATTTGCTACTTTAGTTGCATGTCTTTGAAGGCTTGGCAACGAGTCAGGAAAAAGACTGTTGTAATCAAACCAAATTTCCAAAACATCAACGTCATTAAGTAAACTGTAGGTAAATGTACTTTTGAAAATGATCTTAGAGCTTCATTGATATAAAAACCATAAGCTTTCTGCATTTTGTTTGTCTCGTAACATCCTATGATAGTTTAGCTGTAGGTCCTATTGTTTTTTTTTGGGGGGGGGGGGGGGGGGGAGTAAAGATTTAAACCTGTAAATACACTAATGTCATTAATTCGATTCTCTGACGTCCATCAGACGTAAAAAAAGAAATAGAGTTAATGAACTTATCCACTTAAACAACATTTAAGAAGCAGTTATTTCTGGTTTTATCTTCATTGAAAAGTATTTTAAAAATATGGAATTGTAACTGGTGAGAACTACTCATAACTATAAAGGTTCTAGGAAACGTAAATCTAAACTGAACAACTGCTAGACTGATACCTCTAATTCTAATGCAATTATTTTGTATCAATGGTTCTGATTGGATGACAGTAAGCGTACAATTCTCTATCTCCTTGTCTGTAACTAAGGAAGCCGACATTTTGAATTCCGGAATGTATTGACATGTAATTTCTCCAATAATAAGCAAAAAAACTTACATTTTGCACCTACAAATTTTCTTTTTATCAAATTTTATTCCATGCATTCTGAAGCGGACAAGAAGCCAGAAAACGCCCGGTGTTTACGTTTGATGCCGGAAGCTTACCTATGACGTCACATAGTTTAGGCGCCAAAGAAGATAACATCATTTCGCGGAATTTTTGTTTAATGAAAATTTTACACTGAAATAATGACTTAAATTCAACGATTTGTTTATTTTGCATTAGAATAGAGATAACTGTATTGTATTTGAAGCTTTGCGGACGTCCATCGGTAGTTTTACTGTCGCAAATATCCGTTTACCTGTCTCCGCTACGCGTCGCCAGGTAAACTCAATTTGCGACAGTAAAACTACCGATGGACGTCCGCAAAGCTTCAAATACAATACAGTTATCTCTTAATTGTTCTGAAATTTTTTTTATCGCAATAAAAGACTCGTCTGGATTAATGTATATAAAATTTATTAAAATACAAAGTCCTCAGCACCGTTGAAATATCATTAAGTAGAAAAATCTTGTGTACTGGTGAATGCAAAGTCTTTCATTTTTTTTTGCACTAACGCGATATCTCGTTCTGGCCATTTAAGTTGAATCCATGTATTTTCGTACCTTTCAGTGCCAGCTCGTATTTAACCATTTTACTTGTTATTTGCACCAACTCGTACCGTTACCACGTCGTACTTTTACCAACAAGTACCTTTTTTGTACCATAATTTAAAGTCATATGATACTTCAAATGATACGGCAACCGCACAGCGCAAGTGCGAGAAAAAACCGCGATTAAAAGAATGTAAACAAACGTGCAGTGGAAGCTATATAGTGTGAATTGTGTGGTATGAGTTATGACAAAGTTTAATTAACTAACAGAAGCGCATGGAAAATATAATATAACAAAAAATAAACATCGCTGTATTGTATTTTTTGTCTTCTCACTCATTTTTCACGTGCTCCATGATTCTACGTTAATTGTTTATTAATGTCACGCTCGGTAAACTTCCACAATAAAACACGAAAGTTAATTAGGGAAAAAGTTTTCACTGAATGAAATATTTTTTGTCGATTGTATGTTATTGATTTGTCATAAAAATAAAACATAGTGCATAGAGGACTTAGTTTGGTATATATACATGCATTGGTTCAAAAATTTCCTACACATAATGATTTGAAGAAAGTCGTTTCATATGATTTTTAGGAGCATACAGTTTCCTTCAATTTTATATCTGATTACCAAATTGTATCAAGGCAATATTAATGACTTCCTCCTCTTTTACAGGTAACACCTGACTCATATTTCAACTAATATAGTTATCACTGCAAAAAAAAAATAATTTGAAAACATCACTTCATAAAATCTATGCATCCGAAGCGCCTTTCCTGATCCTCTTTCATCAAAGCCGAATATTTTAAAGCCAAGGATGTACCGTATTCAGGCTTGTAAAGTCCGTGTTTTTTTCTCCAAAATCAAAATAATATTGCCAGGCAGGGTGCACCACGTGACACTGCTGTTGATATTAAATATGTGCACATGTCAAACGAATGGCCGGAAAAATAGAGATTTTTAACTTTTCTTCTGACTAGCTGGAACAATAGACACTCCGTTTAATCAATATATCATTAGATATGAAAATAAATTAAATCATTGCCGTGACGTCAGACTATTCATTAACCGTGATTTCTTTTTCTTTAAACCATTGCCGTGACGTCAAATTTCATTTACTGTGGTTTCTTTTTCTTTGAACCATTGCTGTGACGTCAGACTATTCATTTACCGTGGTTTCGTTTTCTTTAAACCATTGCCGTGACGTCAGACTGTTCATTTACCGTGGTTTCTTTTTCTAGAATCAACGCTTTTTATATCTTTCGATGAAATGGTTTCACCAGATTATATTCAATTGTTTCCTTTGCGCGATTGATTTCATTAAGTTTGAATTGGCTAATTTACAGATTTCTGTTCACTAATGGAATTAATTTGAAAACTTACTTTAAACTTTAATAATTTTTATCTCCATTCACTGGGAATTGAACCCCCATCTTGAAGTATATTATGTATGACTGCTATCAAACACATCAACGACACCTCTCGGCTACCAATGGATTGTAACTAAGATGTCTATTTATTATATTGTATATATCAATGAACATAAATTGATTTCAATATATGATACACATATATATATATATATATAA